TAACTTTTTCTATGAGTTGTTCGACAAAAACTTACTGGAATATATTCCAGAGCAAACAAACACTCCTACACAAGAGTAGTAATTCATAAGATAATTTTTATTTTGTTGCAGGTTAAAAAAAAGGATTATTTCAATGGTAAAAAAATCGAACACAGAACAGAATAAAAACTACAAATCATACAAAGTCGGTCTCGTTATCCGGGGTTAAAAGCGCGCGTTTTGAAACCCAGGGACGGACTCGGGAACTTAACGCTAATTGCGGCGGACGTTAGTCGACGATAAAACGTTCGATTTATGGAAGAGATACGGGCTTGGCAGGGCCGTAATGGCGTAATTCAATAAACATAAACGGTTTACAGCCGACATGCGCGTAAATAACGAAACTCGACCGAAACCGACACCGACGGAGGAAAGATCAAGAAAAAGAAACTTTTAATCCCCTTTAAAAATTCCATTTTTTGTTATAATTTAATTCACAATTTGACAATAAAATTAATTATAATTTTGTGTTTTGTTTTATTGCCAAAAAAAAAACGAAATCGTACATTTCAGTCACGTTCATTTCCCATAAATCAAATTTGACGACCTTGTCGGCAATTGAGGGCCGTAAAACGTGAACGTATAACGCATTACGCCAACGTTTTATTGCGTAAACAAAGAACCGCGGGCACGACCTACATAAAATTAAAACAAAAAAAAATTGGAGAGAGGAAAAAACCTTACACATTCGTTCACAAACACTTCGCGTTATGATCATTATGTGTTGAAATGTTCTACGAAACGGTCAAAATCATTTGTGATCAAAAAATATTTAATAAAAAGTCAATAATAAGTAATTAAGGTGAGTAAAATTAAGAATTATTATAAGAATATTAAAGGAAAAAAGTTTTTTTTTTGGATAAATTTGAATAATCGCGTAGTGTCATCTATTGGGGGGTAGCGGAACTTTTTCGAACTAAGGCCGTAATGGCCGACGAGATTGAAAGGGCGCACGGCGATTGGTGAGCTTTGCTACGGCCATTGCGGCCCTGGTAATTTAAGACCGAACGGTTGCGCCCCCTTATGGGGTAGGGCTCCAATGGTTCGCTTAAAGAGGCGGAATAAAGGGGAACTTTAGGTGACTCCATAGCGATTTAGGCGGGGTGAAAAACGCCCTGTTACGCCCCAAAAAAATTTTTTTTAAATTAAAATTAAAATTAAAAAATTGAATCGAAACAAAAAAAAAAAAATGAAATTAAAAATGTTTATAAACAAAATTAAAACAAAATTAATGAATTAATTTGATTGATGAAGTGGTTTTATTCAAAGTAGTGATTTGGATTGATTGTTCTACTACTGGAGGTTTTGTGGGGCCGTAAACGGTTTCTTTTATGGGCGGTAAAGTTTTAAGAGCCGTTTCGCGGGTGACTCCACCACGTTTAAAACCGTGCTTTAACAGGTTGTTGATAACCAGGGTCGTTAAAAGGTGGCGCACACGCGACTACTAACAGTATGAGTTACAACCGTTAAATAATTGATGTTACAACTGTAAATGACCATAAAATAAAAAAAAAATAATAATAAAAAATAATTAAGTACGACTCAGTAAAGTTTATTATTACATAAAGTAATTCGTGCTATAAGTCACGTAGAGCGTTTGGCTGCAACTATCATTACGTCATTAACTATATTTATAATAACAGATAGATTCCAAAGTATAAAAAAAAATTTCTATTTCAAATAACGAAGCATAATATATATATATATATATATATATATATATATATATATAAAGCCAACAAGTACTTCATTTCATGCCAGTATTTGAAAATTTTCAACTAAATAAAGCAACAGCCATATTTATCGTAAACTTTTTCCTCTACTGTTAACATTGTATTTAAAAAACACCTTAAGTTTACTAAATTACAATTTGGCAGATTGACATTGACAGGAAAGCAATTTTGTTTTTCCATGGCAGTCTTTTTAGAAATAAAATTGTTGATATGGATTTTTATCAAAGTAGGCCGATCATTCCGAAAATTTGCATATGGCCATAGTTTTTCATTCTGAACAAAAATTCTTAGTAACACTTTCACGTACTGTAAACAAAAAAGGTACTTTACCTGCCACAAAAAAAGTTTTTCTTTCACTTGTTTTTTAAAAATTGAAAATATGTTCAAAATTAGTCTTTCATCAAGCAGGGCTGAACCCCAAAAAATTACAATTAATATCGACAAAATTTTTCCTTTTATAAGAGTCTATATATATAAGAGTATATATATAATAATAAGCATTACTCAAAGAGGAAAAAGGAATTAACATAGAAATTTAGATTTTAAGGAAATCTAAGAACGTCTTCATCATTGTATCATAATTAACATAGGTTACGATTTACTTAATCAAAATAGCGCCCCAACCGGGACCTATTAGACCCCGACCCATACATAACACACCAAAAAAAGAAATAAAATAAAAAGAAAGAGAATGTTTTAAAGAAGAATAAGAATAAAGAAAGAAAGAGAGAGGAAGAACTCGTCTCATTAAGGCCGAAATAACTCAGCTCCTAAACAGGACAGATAAAGTGGGCACCGGGAATAGAATTTAACGAACCGTGTGTGTGTGTGAGTTCACTTACGATTAAGATAGAAAAAAAATGTAAAAAAAACGTATATATATATATATATATAAGATAGACAAAATATATTATATCCAACCCCATTTCTCATAGATAAACTCGGGGTATTCCCCGAATTGTCTATATGATGTAAAAATCAAGGGCGGTAATTCTGGTTTCTAGTTCTTGTTGTATATTTTTATTAAACTAACACTAAACCTCGAACTAGAATCATTCGGGATTAGCCGTACGTCTCTTAAGACGGCTAACCCCGAATGATTCTAGTTCTAGGTTTAGTGTTAGTTCTAGTGATAGTGTAAAACTATAACTATCACTAGACCTCGAACTAAAATCATTCGGGATTAGCCGTACGTCTCTTAAGACGGCTAACCCCGAATGATTCTAGTTGTAGGTGTAGTGATAGTTCTAGTTTTACACTATCACTAGAACTAACACTAAACCTCGAACTAGAATCATTCGGGATTAGCCGTACGTCTCTTAAGACGGCTAACCCCGAATGATTCTAGTTCTAGGTCTAGTGTTAGTTCTAGTGATAGTGTAAAACTATAACTATCACTAGACCTCGAACTAAAATCATTCGGGATTAGCCGTACGTCTCTTAAGACGGCTAACCCCGAATGATTCTAGTTGTAGGTGTAGTGATAGTTCTAGTTTTACACTATCACTAGAACTAACACTAAACCTCGAACTAGAATCATTCGGGATTAGCCGTACGTCTCTTAAGACGGCTAACCCCGAATGATTCTAGTTCTAGGTCTAGTGTTAGTTCTAGTGATAGTGTAAAACTATAACTATCACTAGACCTCGAACTAAAATCATTCGGGATTAGCCGTACGTCTCTTAAGACGGCTAACCCCGAATGATTCTAGTTGTAGGTGTAGTGTTAGTTCTAGTNTAATATATAATTATATATATATAGATATATATAGAGATATATATATATATATTTTGATACAAACAAAAATTAGGAAGATATTCTTGCATTCGATTCACAGGGAAATTAAAAAATTGATAATTTTAAAAAATAGTGTCAATCAAAGTTGTTCAAAATTGATACAGTTACTATTATAGCTTGGTTTAGAAATAAACGGTAAATTTTTAGCAAATATAACTTAGTCATAAATTAGCAGTATCTATTCTTCAGCTACTAGTATCTAGTCTTCGATATAGACTATTTAGTTTTCCATTAGTAGTAGTTAGTCTGTTTGGGCAATATCTATTCATCACCAAGCAGTATCTAGTTTTATGTAAGAAGGACCTAATCTATTAGAAACTTTCTAGTTCTAGGTCTAGTGATAGTTCTAGTTTTCGAGGTTTTACTGTATATACTACTATATGCATATATATATATATACTATTAATATATACATATATTTTATTTCTATCTTTATATTTTATGTATTATTTTATATATATTATTATTTATATTTATATATTTTTTCTATTCTATATATACATAGAATATTAAGTTAAAATCTATATATAAGCAAAGAACTTCGACCCAGTTTCCTCATACTCACAAAAAAATAATAATAATAAATAAATAAGAACTAAGATTAGAAAAGTTTTCCTGTATTACTAACTCATTTCTTTTTCTTCTTTTTCTACGTCTTCGTAATCTTATTTACGCCGCTACGAGATAAAAATGGAAACAATAAAGCGCTTTGTCGGCGCGATATCGGAACTTACTAAGAAAATAAATTGAAAAAGAAAAAAATTCAATACAATACTGCATAGTGTATAGCTTAACTTGTTATAAGAAGTAAAAAGAATTTTATATATAAGTGTAGAGTTGGATGAGTTGTCGAGAGATGGCGCTAGAGGGATTAGAATTTCTAAAAATTCTTTAAAAAAAAAATTTTAAGGTAACAATTTGTTATGTAACACATTTTAATAATTTAATTTTAAAATAATTTGTTATTACGTTGTTTTTATGCAATAATATTTGATTTTGACACAAAATCTTGTCCGAATTTTAGTAATAATAAAAAAATTGTGTTTACATGAAAAGAGTGGGTCGATTAGTGAGCCATAAACATCTCCGACGAGGTTTTATGACTGTATTCTGAGTTCAAGGACATTGTTGGTGTGCGTTTTTGTCACTTTCCTTCATTGGCGTACTTCGCGTTTAGGAAAACGTGCGTTTAGTATACGTAGTAAGAAGAAAACCGACGACGACGACGACGTCGGTGGTGGTGGTGGTGGTGTTCGACGTCGTTTTATGACACCATGACCTGCCGCAAACCGTTTTACTCGCGTTTATTGCCTTTTTACTGGCTTCCGGACGCGTAAAAAGAAACGACCAATTTAGACGTTTTTTTTTGTTTACAAGAATCTATTGAATCATGATCAAAAAGATGAATCAAATGGATTAAGAAAATCTTACCTTTTTCCCTTGGGTTGAATGACTACTTGGATAATCCATAAACCTGGGGAGAAATAAGAAAAATATATTAAAAATTTTTGATAAAAAACTCTACCTATTAATCAAATTAAAACTTGAAATCTCTACTTTAACTTAATGTATAAACAAGTATAAATAGTGGCGGTTCCAGCTTATAAAATAACCGGATGCGAACACCGGTTTTGCTTATTTACAAATAAACAGAAGCTAACAAATATTAAAATACAGTTTAAATTATACATGACTTTATATATAAGATGAAAAATGAATTAAATTAAAATAGAAAATACTTTAAAGTTATTTTAAAGATTTTGTATGGCAGTTTTCTTAAAATCGATTCATCTAGCATGCAATATTGAGAAAACTTGTTCTTTTTTAAATTCTTAACAAATTTTACTTGAGAAATATTTCGATACAATCAATAATTAAGAACAACATTGAATTCTATGTTTATAGTGTTCACAGGGAAATTAAAAAAATTGAGAATTTTAAAAATTGGTGCCAATAAAAGTTGTTCCTTGTTTAATTCTTAACAAATTTTATTAGAAAAATATTTTGATACAAACAAAAATTAAGAAGATATGCTTGAATTCGATTTTTATACTGTTCAGAGAGAAATTAAAAAATTGAGAATTTTTAAAAATTGTGCGAATAAAAGTTGTTCCTTGTTTAATTCTTAACAAGTTTTATTAGAAAAATATTTTGATATAAACAAAAATTANATCTAGTTATGAATTTTATCTTTTTGGTTAATTATAAACAATTTCAATGTAAAATATTTCCCTCCATCATTTTAAATTGACGAGATATGATCAGGTTTAATAAACAAAATCAACAATTTTGACATTTCGGGGATTTTCACTTTCTCTCTGCAATATGGTTATAATTAAATAATATCTGGTTATGGATTATGTCATTTTGGTTCATTATAAACAATTTCTATGTAAAATATTTTCCTCCATCATTTTTAATTTTCGAGATATAATCGGGTTTAATCACAAATATTAACAATTTTGGCATTTTGGGGATTTTCACTTTCTAACTAAAACATAATAACATTTGAATTAAATCTGGTTATAAATTATGTTTCTTTCGTTCATTATAAACAATTTCTATACACAATAGTTTATTCCACCATTTTTCATTTTAGAGATATCATCCGCTTTAATAACAAAAACCAATAATTTCGACATTTTGAAGATTTTCACTATGTAACTACAATATAACCATATTTGAGTCATATTTGGTTATGAAATGTATCTTTTTGGTTCTTTATAAACAATTTAAATCCAAAATATTTCCCTCCATCATTTTTAATTTACGAGATATGATCAGATTTAATAAACAAAATCAACAATTTTGAGGTTTCGGGGATTTTCACTTTCTAACTAGAACATAATAACATTTGAGCTAAATCTGGTTATAAATTATGTTTCTTTCGTTCATTATAAACAATTTATATACGCAATATTTTATTCCACCATTTTTTATTTTTGAGATATTATCCGCTTTAATAACAAAAATCAACAATTTTAGACATTTTGGGGATTTTCACATTCTAACTAGAATATAACAATATTTGAATTAGATCTGGTAATAAATTTAGACTTTTTAGTTCATTATAAACAATTTTTATATAAAATATTTTCCTCCATCATTTTTAATTTTCGAGATATAATCGGGTTTAATCACAAAAATTAACAATTTTGGCATTTTGGGGATTTTCACTTTCTAACTAGAACATAATAACATTTGAATTAAATCTGGTTATAAATTATGTTTCTTTCGTTCATTATAAACAATTTCTATACACAATATTTTATTGCATCATTTTTCATTTTCGAAATATCATCTGCTTTAATAACAAAAACCAATAATTTCGACATTTTGATGATTTTCACTATCTAACTACAATATAACCATATTTGAATCATATTTGGTTATGAAATTTATCTNAAATGTAATAAGTGTAGTCCAAATTAAATCATAATCCAGGGAGAAAAGCGAGTGAAAGTCTTTAGCTGGTGTTTCTGGATCCGCGTATGATATTGAAATGTATACTGGAAAAAGAATTTTGACGAGCTACCTAACAACCTCAATTTTTGAATAACTTCCAATATTTTATAATATCTGGCAAGAATTATACCAGATATTAAAGAAAACTTTATAATATGCAGTTACTATTAGAGCTTGGTTTAGAAATAAACAGTAAATTTTTAGCAAATATAACAGCTACATGGGTCTCGAGGACGTATTAGTTAACTTAGTCATAAATTAGCAGTATCTATTCTTCTATATAGATTATTTAGTTTTCCATTAGTAGTAGTTAGTCTGTTTGGGCAATATCTATTCATCACCAAGCAGTATCTAGTTTTATGTAAGAAGGGCCTAGTCTATTAGCAGTATCTAGCCTTCTATATCTAGCTTTCCATTAGTAGTATCGAGTCTTTAGTAATCTCGTTTTCCGCTAAAAGTATCAGCTCTTCTATAATCAGGATATATAAGTAGTGGCTAGTTCTCAAAGAGCAGTATCTAGTCTTTTATATGAAGAATTTTGTCTCCCATTAACAAATTCCTGGATATGTTGGGCAGTATCTCCCCAACCCAAGCCAACCCAACCCATGTATAATGAATATATACCCATATCTGATTACTGTGAGGCATCAACCAATAAGATGTAGTCTTCTGTTCTGCACACCAGAACTTTGCAAGCAATATCTATTCTTTCATTAGTAGTATCTAATCATTAATTATTATTTTAGGTGAAAATTCTTTTAAAACGAAAATAAGTTAATTTAATTTTTCTCGTCTATTCTCATTTTATTTCTAGACCACACCAATCACATCTTTAGTCTATTTATCTTTGCGTTTCCTTTATACATACGAGTTCTCAAAGATTATTTACCTTGCGCCGATGTATGTTAGAGCGTCAAAGAACCCCGAGAAATCGATCTAATAACGTTTTCCCCCACAGGAAAAGAAGAGCAAACAGGAGGACATGACCCAAAACGTTTTGCTCGTAAACTTGATAAATTATTGAGGAGAAATGTACGTTTATTTTGTTACCTTAAATCGCATGTTATTTAAATCCTAAATAGTTTGAGATGATTTTTTTTAATACCTGGTTATAATCAAAAAATCTTGTAATCAAAACGTTTCTCACGTACGAGAAATATATTATAACGAGAAACTAAGTCCGAAGGAATTAAGGACTAATGAAAAACGTGACATGTTAGATTCAAGACTGAGGTGGTCTTTTTTCGTTACGTTTTTTTTTTTCGTATATAATCCTTCTGGGTCGAGTCCAACTTTCCAAGAAATCCAATACAGGAGTAGTCCGGTTATTTTTAGGACGCGGTCATAAATAAAGTTACGCAAAGTTAGAAGTTACAAGGACGAAAAGAAACCTACAGAAAAAAAAAGAAAGGAAAAGTACAAAAAGTGGTATTAACAAAAAGAGTTACAAGAATAAAAAAGAATTGTGTTAGGGTTATGCAATAACACAACGGGGGTGAAACCCTTTTTTTTATTTTTTTTGGTTTCCTATTCATCTTATTGTTCTTATTGTTTTAAATTTTTTATGGTTAAAATTCTAAAATCCAATTAACTTATTTTTCGTTTTTAAAACGTCATTACGAGAAATATTTTCATAACTTTATTACACCCGGTACTCGAGCCAAAGCTAATGCAGTCACGCACCACACGTTTTCTTTTAATTCTTTTAATTACTGTTGCGAAACGTCACCTGCAAAAGGAGCGTCTATAAAACCCGGTAATTAACGGCGTCCATTTACGGGCACGCCACTGCGCCACTTCGCGGGACTGCCAGCTTATAAACCCCCTAATTATATCTAGGCTGCAATATCTCAACTTGAAAATATACTTAACAATTTTTTCTTTTTTACAGCTCAACCTTTCTCTCCTCTCAAAAATCGTGAATGTTGTTTTCACGATGAATTGTGAATTATGAACATTTTGGAACAGAAAAGAGAAAGCTTTTTTTAGAAGGAGGGAGAGGGTGGAATAAAAAATAAAATCAAAATTTTAAAGAATTTTTGTTGACGACGTGAATTTTCATTGTCAATGAACGACCTTGGCTTGCATCATCAAACGGTAGTAGTGTTGCAGGGGTAAAAACAGAGACATAAACAAGCCTCTAACGTCCACGACCATAAAATCATGCTTTATGGCCTCCTTACGTCACGCGTTTTACTGCCATGACCCATATAGTGACGTCGTCGTCGTCGTCTCGACAAAACTTTAGCGAATTTTCACGCGCCCTTCGAAAAAAAAATACTTTTCTTCGTTCTCCATCATCTTTCAAACGTGATAGAGTAAGATGGAAGGGTGGGGCTCTGAAATGCAACAACCTCCTTGCGACCGGAAAACCGGGGATGTCCTTGCCAGGGGATGCAGTATTGATGAGCTGCGTGCGCATATTACCACCCCAAAAACCAATGGAAAGGGATGGTGTGACGTAGAGGGGTAAAAAAGGGTATTGCACTGGACGATGCAACTCCGAGGATTTGAACTACAATTTGATGTTGGAAAATTCAATTTTAATACAAGTTTGATCTAATTTTTATAATTTAAAAATTTTATATATATTGCTATATTAGCCTATATTTTATTTTATATATAAATAAATACCTGTATATATTTACAACATATCTTCATATTTTGGGTATTTAAAATTTCTAATTAACAAATTGTTATAGCTTAATTTGACTCATTATGAACAAATTTGCTCCCAAAATCTTTTTTCTGCCGCCTTTACTTCTTGAATTTAATGATTGTGTTTAATCAACAATTTAGATATTTCGTTAATTAGCACATTCTAACTAGAATATAATTATATCTAAGCTAGATCTGGTTATGAATTATGTTTCCTTGGTTAATTATAAACAATTTCTATGCAATATATTTTCCTCCATCGTTTAAAGTTTTTGAGTTATGATCGACTTTAACAACGAAAATCTGCAATTTCGATGTATTTGGGGTTTTCGCTTTCTAACTAAAATATGG